CTGGGAGGCCGAGGAAGGAGGATCACTTGAGGTCAGGAGTTCCAGACCAGCCTGAGCAAGAGTGAGACCCACTCTCTACTAAAAAAATAGAAAAAAATTAGCTGGGCAACTAAAAATAGAAAAAATTAGCCTGGCGTGGTGGTGTGCACCTCTAGTCCCAGCTACTTGGGAGGCTGAGGCAGGAGGATCGCTTGAGCCCAGGATTTGAGGTTGCTGTGAGCTAGGCTGACACCATGACACTCTAGCCTGGGCAACAGAGTGAGACTGTCTCAAAAAAAAAAAAAAAAACTGCCCTCCTTTTTCAAACTTGACATCCTAGCAACACAAAATTATTGATGTGGTTTCTTGTATGTTCCACTGTCTTTCTCACACAATTTACCCTTACCCTTCTACCTGAGGCCTAGCACCTCCTTGAGAAAACCTTCCTTAAAAGTCCCCACCCAGACTTCAGGCTAGGGCATGTTCCCTCCTCTAGGCTCCTCAGCCCTATTTTCAGGGCACTGATCCATCCCCCAGCATTGTCCCCGTCTGTCTCCTCCGCTAGACCATGAGCCCCTTGAGGGCAGGGTCCTCTCTGGGGCCTAAGTTCCTAGCACAGGGTCTGGAAGGTATTAGTAAATGTTGAATAAATAAACTCAAACAGGTTAAGTGACTTGCCCAAGGTCACACAAGTAATAAATGAAGAAGCAGAGGGTCAAACCCAGGTCTGTCTGACTCCAAAATACCTGCTCTTTACCACTCTGATTGCTTTTTCTTGGCCTGCCTAACCCAACATCTTGCTTTTTTTCTTCCCAAGGACTGAGGAGGAGAAGAAAGACTGGGTCCAGGTAACATCCAAGAAGGCTTTGTGGTAGGGGGCTGGAAGAGTATTAACAGGTCTCTGAGGGGTTGGTAGACTCTCCCCCAAAACACATCTGACCAGAATGGGCCTGGACACCTGCCTTCCAACAAACTTTACCATCCCCATATTACAGATAAGCAAGCTAAGGGGTGCAGAGGTTAAGCAGAAACTCACAAACTCTTCTTTAAGAAAGCTGGTTACTCCGAGGGTGTAATCCCAGTGAGTCAAGCCCTGTAAAGTTTTAAACCCAGACAATGGTCAGGAAGTCCGCCTGAGGTTTTTCAGCCACTGCTCCCCATCCCCCATTTTACAATTTTAACACTGTGACCTAGATTTGGGAAGGGATTTGCTCAAGATCGTCTGCCTAACAGGGACAGAGCTGGGCTAGAACCCAACTTTTCTGACTTCATGCTAGGGCATAGGAAAGAGAGGTGAGAGTTGAAGTGGGTGGCTTGTGGGGTGATCTGACCTCATTTCTTATACCTCCTCCTCAGGCCATCAACTCCACCCTCCTGAAGCATGAACAGACGCTAGAGACCTTCAAACTATTGAACTCAACAAACAGGGAAGATGAAGACACGCCCCCCAACTCTCCAGTAAGAGTCCCCACTCTCGCCCCCTGCACTGGGACCCCTTCCAGGCCTCCAAGTCCTCACTTGACCTTGAGATGATCCTCTCCCGTTCCCAGAGGGTAAAGACCAGAGAGGCAATGCATGACCTCAGAAGCCCAGTCTTCTATTGGGTAGGGTTACAGAGAACTCACTGGGGAAACCAAGGCCCAGAAAGAAGTGACTTGCCTTCAGTAGCAGTGAGGTAGGAGCAGAGCCAGGACTCAAGGCAGGTCTTCTGAAAGTGTCTGCTGCCACCCACCCTCCTGCCATGATGATCCAAGCCTAGGGGCAAGGGCTGGCTGGACAGGGAGGGAAAGTAGCTGTCTCTGACCTGGGACCCGACCCTCCCCCCAGAACGTGGATCTTGGGAAGCGGGCACCTACACCCATCCGGGAAAAGGAAGTAACCATGTGCATGCGCTGCCAGGAGCCCTTCAATTCCATCACCAAACGCAGGCACCACTGCAAGGCCTGTGGGCATGTGAGTGTTGGGGGGCAGGGGCAGAGCTAGGGAGGGGACAGGCTGACAGCCGGAAGACCCACATGTGAGTGGGTACCCTCCAAGTGGGGGGGGGCACAAGTCTGCTGTGGGAGTTGGTACACTGAAGGGGGAGGCTTGCTGGAATCAGGCTGCTCTTGCCCACTTGCCACCCCAGGTGGTTTGTGGGAAGTGCTCTGAGTTCCGGGCCCGCCTCATCTATGACAACAACCGCTCCAACCGCGTGTGCACTGACTGCTATGTGGCCTTGCACGGGGTGCCCGGGAGCAGTCCAGCCTGCAGCCAGCATACACCCCAGCGCCGGAGGTCCATCCTGGAGGTAAGAGCCAGGCCCCTGACTAACTTTATCACAGTGACCAAATGGGCTCCAACCACTTACCCAGTGTGACTGGGGAGGGCCTGGGCCGCTCTGAAACAGTAGGGTGCTATGTGCATCCACTGATCAAGTGACCTAGGCGTGAGTAAATTGAGTACCAGAGTGAATGAAAGACAGTAATTTTTATTGGCGTGCTTTAGACATTTAATTCTCACAGTAACTATTCTGTCCATGCCATTATTATCCTTATTTTACAAATGAGGAAACTGAGGCCCAGAGACGTTATTTGCCCAAGATACACAACAAATAAGTGGCAGAGCTGGAATTTTTAAAAATTAACAAATTGCCTTTTCTTATTACAAAGTAGCATAAGTAGGACAATATGAAGAAAAAAATAATACAACACCATATTCCTTATACCCAAAAGTTACCACTGTTAACACATATCCTTCCTATCTTTCCAGGCACGTGCATATACACACATTTTTAAACAAATCAAGGCATTTATTTTAACACTTAAGAACACTTACTCTGTGCCACAAACTATTCTAAATGCTTTGCATATATTAATTCATTTAATCCTCACAACAGCTCTTGGTGTTCTCCTTCCAAGTCAATACATTTTCATCTTGAGCTGGGATTCTGAGCCAGACTGTGTTATCCAACAACCCCTGCCACCACCACATCCACAATGCTAGATTGCCTCTTGCTGAGTGTAGGGAGATGGATGTGATGAAAGAAAAAAGGTGAGCCGTAAATGCATGAATGACTTTAGGAGAAAATGGACTGACTGAAGAAAGAACACCTGACTGGCATTTAGATGCCGCCACTAAGATCTGTACACCCCTCTACTGGCTTTCAGGCCAGGCAGCAGCCATGGCCTGAATCAGGCAGACAAGGCTGGCTTTGAATCTCAACTCGAGCTGACTCACTGGGTGACACTGGGCAAATCACTCCTGCCACCTGAGCTTCAGGGTCTTCAGGAGACATGGGAATAGCAGTCCCTATACTAAAGGGGGTGTTAATGCCAAGAGGAGCCAGGCTAGGCCTTCTGTCAATATTGATTCCACCCCCACCTCCTTTGCCCCATGTCTCTGGCCACAGAAACAGGCCTCAGTGGCTGCGGAGAACAGCGTCATCTGCAGTTTCCTGCACTACATGGAGAAGGGTGGGAAAGGATGGCACAAGGCATGGTTCGTGGTCCCAGAGAATGAACCCTTGGTGCTATACATCTATGGAGCCCCTCAGGTGTGTATCCTACTCCTTTGAGTCCTTTCAGCCACCTGGCAAAGCCAGGCTTCCCCCACTTCCTCCCAGTCCTTGACCTTTCCTTGGCCTTGGGGGATAGGGTGAGCCTAGCTCAACCTAGAAGGAAATCAGAAGCCCCACCCTTGGGAGATAAAGACGGTCCAGAGACAAGGAGTGATTGTGGGCCAAGGTATGTAGGGAAAACTGGGGTGAGATGGGGGTGGGGCTGGCTTCCTGGAGGAAGCAGGAGTGGAGATGGGACACTGCTAGGTCCAATTTGGAGTGGGAAAGAATCTGCAGATGGGGCAATAGTGCAAAGGCCTGAAAACATTTTTTGGTATGCTAAAGAGAATAGCTCAGCTGGTGTGGGATTGTAGGAGACAACAGGTATTTGAACCAGCCTACATTTTAGCCCTAGTTCAGACATTCTCCTATTCATAACAGTAGAGTCACAGAAGGTTCTTGAGCAAGGGTAGGAAAAGAGGCGACCAGATGCAAAACTAGTTAGAAGTTGGGGCAGGGGGAAGGTCCAGCCCCAGGGTGACCCCAGCTGTGTCCCTCTTCCCCAGGATGTGAAAGCCCAGCGCAGCCTGCCCCTCATTGGCTTTGAGGTGGGGCCTCCTGAGGCAGGGGAGCGGCCTGACAGAAGGCATGTCTTCAAGATCACCCAGAGCCACCTCAGCTGGTACTTCAGCCCTGAAACAGAGGAGCTACAGCAACGCTGGATGGCCGTGCTTGGCCGGGCAGGCCGTGGGGACACGTTCTGTCCAGGGCCCACACTGTCTGAGGACAGGGAGATGGAAGAGGCACCGGTGGCAGCTTCAGGAGCCACTGCTGAACCCCCCGAAACTCCCTAGACCCGAGACAAGACCTAGAGCATTGGGGTGGAACTGGGAGCCCCCACCCCACACTCTAGCTGCCCATATCCAATTGGGGGCTCCAGCCCCTTCCCTCCCAGCTCAGTCAATACTTGAACTTCCCATCATGGGCACTTTCAATCCCAAATGCTGGGTCTTGGGTTTTTTAACTCATCTTTTAACAAAACGTGGGCTTTTAAAAGAAAATATTCCTACAGTGATGTTAATTTTTTCTTAATCCCTATACCCAGGGAGGGTGGGAGCTGTTGCTAGACCCACCTGAATCAGGCCATTCCCCATTCCCCCACCCCCACCCCCAATTCCCCAACACCCTACAGATCCTGCCTCTACCCAATTCCTTCCAAAGCATCAGAGGCAGGAAACCTGGATTCAAGTGCCAGCTCTGCCACTGACCCTGGGGCCCCAACCCACCCCTGCCACCTCAGCCAGTGTCTTCACATGTACACCTCCACTCGGGTTAGTGACTAGACCCTTCCTGCCTCTCCCATGGCTTACAGCTTCTACCCAGCCCCAAGGCTACCCAGTATTTTATCGTCCAGACCCATGGCAGGGCCACTGGGCAGGACAGGGGAATGAGGGGAGGACAATGGATACCCTTTGTTTTGTTTTGTTTTGTTTTTTTAAGAAAAAATACAGTTTATTTCTGGCTTACAGTAACTTTCAGAGCCCTGCTGTGCTCTGCTCGTGCATCTGTTTGTTTGTCCGAAGTACCAGGCTGTTAGGGTGGGCACAGAAACTGCTCCCTTGCTGAACTCTGAAGCTCAGCTCCTAGAGGCTGATTCCAAGGCTACTCACAAGTCAAGCCACAGATTAAACAATAAGGTATTGTTTATTAGGATCTCAAGCCTCATCCCTGGACCTAAATGGGATAAAGAGTAAGGAAAGAGGCTGGAGGAGATAGAAAACAAAGCTCAGCTCTCCCAAGCTCACCACCTAACCATGGCCTTAGAATTCCTGAAGGAATGCAGGGCTGGAGGCTGGGCTGCAGGAAGGGAATACTCCTACACGGTTCCATGTTTTGGGCAGGGGTACAGAGCTGCCCAGTGTGTTCGGTGGGGTGGGATAAGGGAAAGGCTCCACACCTACTTTCGTTCACATCTTTTAACTATTTTCTCTTCCGTTTGCATGTTCATCTCACCATTCCTGACCCAGCCAGCCCCCCAGCACTGAGTACTGGTTCTCCTGCTGGTCCTCTCCCTCCACACATCCACCTGCCCACTGTCAACCACCATCTAGCTCCTCCAGCCACACCCACACCCACTCATCCCCCTCTTCACAATGACTGCACCCAAGAGACACTGTGCTGGGAAACCCGTCCTCATCACTCAGATGGTAACTTAAGGCCCAGGGGGATATGCTGGACCAGGTCCAATCACCCCCAAAACCAAGGACCCTAGGGCTTTTCTTCCCTTGGAGGGAGCTGGATAAGGGAACAGGAAAGAGGATAAGGATGGGGTAACCAGTCCAAAGGTCTATAACCCTCCAAAAAAGCCCCTAAAAAGCAAGTCTCAAAACTAGCAAATAAGGGCCCAAACCATTTCCAGACCCACTCATTTCTTTCTCCGGACAATGGTCCAGCCATCTTCCACTATATCTTCTTCCTTAATAGTCTGAGACTCTGGATCAGAGGGTTCAGGCTGGGAGCAGACTCCATCTGTAGCAGCCCCATCATTTGTAGCTGAGACCTGGAGGGGAAATACGAGAGCTAAATACATTGGCCAATGAGGACTCAGGATCTGCTCCCAGCTTTTCCAGGACTGGCTATGTGACTTTAGGAAAGTTCCCTGCCCTCTCTGGATGATACCACCACCACCACCCCCACCTCTGTGAATCTAGCTTGCTCTCCCAGAAAACTGAAAACACCTGTATCCACCACACACACCCACGGGGCACCCACTTCACCTCCATCTCTTCCACACTGCCCCCATCATCTTCATCCTCATCAGTCTCTCTGGCTGTCTTAAGTGCAGTGGCTGTGACCCCGCACTTTCTCTGAGTGATGTGGGACGCCATCTCCTTTAGAGCAGCCCCATCACCTCTCTCGAAGTGGTAGAACATGGTCTGCAATTGCTGGCTCACCTACAAAGAAACATTCAACCAGCTTGGATTTTTGAGAAAATCTATGCAACCAGCCCATGTTTGCAGCAAGAGTGGGGTGTGGGTTGGAATTTTCCAGAAGAGAACAGGTATCTTTCCTCCCCAAGGAGTTCACCAATGAAGCAACCACATATGAAGGGCTCAGGTGAGGGCCCGAAGCATCAAAGGAGGGCCTAATAGCAGAGAAGGCACTAGAACTGGTCTTTGAAAAAGATATAAAAGGGAAGGCAATCTTATCAGGAGGAGCAATGTTAACCAGAGCAGGGGTGAAAATGTACCTGCCCTGCCCTGCCCTGCCCTTGGGATGGGGGTGAGGAACAGGCCTGCCTGGGAATGGTATATGGAGAGACGCAGGGTTTGCAAAGACCTAGAAAGACTAGACTTGTTCCTCTAGGCAACAGGGAGTCATAGAAGGGTCTTGTGCAGGACCCAAGAGAAGAATGGTTAGAGCCAACAATCTTGGCCCGAAACAGACAGTTGGGGAAAAGAAAGACCGCAAGCGGCCGGGTGCGGTGGCTCACGCCTGTAATCCCAGCACTCTGGAAAGCCAAGGCAGAGGATCACTTGAGCTCAGGAGTTTGAGACCAGCCTGAGCAAGAGTGAGACGCCATCTCTTAAAAAAAAAAAAAACCACAAAGACTGCAGGCAAGGAGACAGCAGCTATGCCCACATTGAGCTTACCTGGGGCAGACTCCCATCCTCCACTACCGTATCAAATTCATTGGTCATCAGCTCCCTGAGGAAGTCCTCCACCTCATCTAGCTCCAAGTCAGCTGAGTAGAAAAGGACAGGTCCCTTTGGTCAAAGATCAGCCAACTTCATCACTCCTGCCTACTACTCTTCAATACCTACTTGGTGGATCTGCATCTGGTTGGTGGGTAAAGGCCCAAACTGTGACTCTTTCATTTGCTAGAGTGCTCCGCATTCTAGGTTTTAACATGGTTTTTTTTAAAAACCCACTAAATTTTAATACCTAATTTCCAATCTCTTGAATCCTACCAAGCCCTTTTCCCATAGCTCCCAGCCCCACACTCGCCCTCTTTTGTTCAGATTATTCTAACTGGCCTCCCCTCTGTGTGACCTTGAGGAAGCTACTGATTCCTCTCCAAGCCTCAGTTTTCTTATCTGTAAAGTGGGGCAAATGGTGGCCTCCTCAAAGGTCTGTTATGAGGAGTCATCCAACACAATGCCTGGTACAGGGGAGATCCATAATCCCTGTTAATTTCCCATCACTCAAGGGCTGAAGTTTTTGAAGTGTAGAGATCTTCACAACTGTGGCTCCACTAATATAGGAGGCCACAGACCAATGGGACAGGTAAGAAGAAATGGATGTAGTACTTCCAATGATGAAACTATCATGACCTTGACACCAACACCCTATCGTATGACTTTGGCTGAGCCCTCCTCCCTGGGCTTCAGTTATCTTATGGGCCCATGCTCTATTTTTTTCTGAATTAGAGAGTAACTCAAGAAAGTCTTCCACAAAGCTCCTCACCCTTCTTCCCTCTATATGCTCTCCCTGGGAGAGCTCATCATCCACCCCTTTGGCTTTCCCTACCATTCAAATCTAATATTCTCCAAATCTGTTTCCAACTCAGACTACTCTGTGCCTGGGTGTTTCACAGGTGCCTCAGACCCTCCATATCCAAAACCAGACTTATGACTTTACCCTCCAAACTTGCTTCTCATCCTCCCGGATTCCTCTATTCCATAAAAGGCACCTAATCCACCCAGTGACTGAAACCAGGATCCTGCCTCTTTTTCCCTCCCCTCTACAATCGTGCACTCTCCAAGGCTCTAATCCACCTTCTTTTCCATATCTATTGCCATTGTCCTACTTCAGGCCTCATCATTTTCTAGATAAAAACAGCCTTCTCATCAGTCTTTCCCTCTCCAGTCCATGCTCCACAATGATTACTTCCTGAACTTTCTAGCCAGTAAATCCCATCCTATTACTCACCTTAGAACCTGCCCATGAATTTTTATCACCTACTGCAGTGTTTCATAGTTTGCCTTTGAGAAATATCTGTTCTGCTGAGTTTTAAGGGAAGCTATCCATAGAAAGCTAATGGGAAACAAAAGCAAACGGGTTTCTTTTAGTGGTTCTTATTCTTACCCAAGCCTTTAATATGCTTATAAGTGTTGAAACTCCAGTGGGAGCTGAAGAAAAGAGCTTTTCTTACAAAATTTGACTGGAGAAGCTTTTTCTTCACTGAATATCTAACAGGACTAGTCTTCCATAGCATATATTTTGGCAAACACTGGCCAAAATAATAAAATCAAAGGCACGTGAGGCCTTCCATGTCTTACCCTTTTGGGAGGACTCCTTGTCCCCCATCTTCATTCTCTACCACTCCTCCACACCACCCCCATGTGCATACACCCTTACTCCAATACTGAGTTCCCTGCTACTTTCCAAATATAACACATTACCTCCTGGTACCACAGAATTTGAGTGTTGCTCTCTCTGCCTCCCCCACCTAGTTAACTCCTTCTCATCCCTTAAGACTCAGCCCAATCACCACCTCCCCTGAGAAGCCTTTTCCCCTGTCTCATGTTACCCCATGCACCCGGAGCTCCTCTTTATTAGAACACCTATCACCTAGTGTTACAACTGTCTATTTGTTTGGATCCCTGACTAGATAGTAAACTTTCTCGAGAGAAATGACTCTGCCTAATGTCATCCCCAAGGCTAGAAAATGAAGAATTTTCTAAAAACCATACTATGCACAGACCCTCTGTCAGGCCCGTTGTTCTTGTATAACCCTCAAGACAAGCCTAAAAATGTAGATTTTTGCTGTCAAAATAGCTACATGTGGTTACAGAATACTTGAAATGAGGCTAAGGCCAAATTGAGATGTGCTAAAACTGTAAAATACCAGATTTTGAAAACAATACTAAAAAAGGTGTAAAATATCTCAATGTTTTATACTGATTACATGTTGAAATATTTTGGAGACGTCAAGCTTGCTAACATACATTGTTGATTTCAATTGCTTCATGTTACATTATCAAAGTGGTTGCTAAAAATTGCAACTCGCATATTTCTATCGGACAGCGAGGGAGTGGATACTTTTATACCCATTTTAGGAACTAGGAAACTTAGTTTCAGGGGAGCTAAATTGCCTTGTCCTGCGTGATACCATACCTCAGTGGCACAACCCGTAAGGCATTGGAACCCAGGATTCTGCCTCCAAAGCCTGTATTCGTTCCACCTCGCCTTCAGGTACCAACCTACAATTGCTCAAGAGAAAATGCAGGCTCTCCGGAATGGAGCTCCTCTTCGCCACACCCCTACACAGACGGGTCGCAGGGCCGCACATGCACTCACCATTGCGGATGAAGTAATCCTCCACTGCACTCCCCAGCCACTCAGCCTTCTCCAGACTGTGCATGCCCCCGAAGCCATTCTCCACAGCGATCTGCGAACACAGGCCCAAACCCACCACGTCAGCTTGGGAGCTGGCCTGGGGTGGCCAGGGGGACCTCCGCTTACGCTGCCCAGCCAAGCCTCAGGCGCCTGGCCCAGCCAATTCCTGTTCTGCCCCGGGCCATAATCTTCATCCTGCCGCAGCCCCACTCACCTGCAACGCCGGCCAGGCCTCCAGCACCGCGTGGACCCCAGCCCGGAAAAGAGCTCGCGTATCATCCCCAGAACCCGCCATCATACGGTCCGGTGCATGTGACGCCCAGACGGCCCAATCCCTGTGCAGCTTGGCCCAGGCAGAATGAGCCGGAAGCCGAGCTTAAGAACACAGGTTCTCTTTTTCCGCAGACCTGGCAGCGAGACTAGAGCAATAGAAAAGTGTATCAGAGCGATCGATGACACCACCGCAGTTACTCTCTTAAAGGACACCAAACGTGGAGGACTTGTGGGGCCATGGGTTCCGGATCCGTGGGTACTTCGCAGGAAAGATATGGGTAACTTACTACAGATACAGATTCCAGGCCCTGAGGCAGAGGACTCAGTGAGCATAGCCTAGAAAATCTAAATTTTAAAAAAGCATCCTAACTTCTATAGAACACTGCAACCAGCAACAGCGGAATACAGCTGGCCCTCTGTGTCTGTGGGTTATACATCCGTGGATTCAGCCCACCTCAGACAGAAAAATTTGGGGAAAAAATTGCATCTGTACTGAACGTGTACAGACTTTTTTCCGTGTCATTATTCCCTAAACAATACAGTATAACAACTATTTACATAGCATTCACACTGTATTGGGTATTATTAATATAATTAATCTAGAGATGATCTAAAGTATACAGGAGGATGTGCTTAGGTTATATGCAAGTACTACACCATTTTTTTTTTGTACACCATTTTATTTTATAGACAAGGTCTTGCTCTGTCGCCCAAGCTAGACTGCAGTGGCATGATCATAACTCACCGTAGCCTTGAATTACTGGGCTCAAGTGATCCTCCCACCTCAGCCTCCCCAGGAGCTGGGATTACAGGTGCCGGCCACCACACCCAGCAACTATGACATTTTATATCAGGGACTTGAGCATCCGTGGATTTTGGTATTCTTGGGAAATCCTGGAACCAATCCCCCATGAGTACCCAGGGACAACTGTACACATTTTTCTGAAGTGCACAGGAACATTCTCCAGGACAGATCATATATTAGGCCATAAAGCAGGCCTTGATAGATATAACAGGATTGAAATAATACAAAGTATGTTCTCCAACCACAATGGAGTAAAATTAGAAATCATTAGCAAAAATAAACATGTGAAATTCACAAAAATGTGGAAATTGACACACTCCTAAATAACAAATGGGTTAAAGAAAAAATCACAAGGGAAATTAGAAAACACTTGGAAATGAATGAAAACAAAAATATAGCATAACAATTTATGACATGCAGTTAAACCAATACTTAGAGGGAAATTTTTAGTTGTAGAAGTACATATTTAAAAGAAGAAAGATTTCAAATTAATAACCTAAGCTTCCACCTTAGGTAACTAGAAAAGTAACCCCAAAGCAAGCATAAGAAAGGAAATAATAAAGATTAGAGCAGAAATAAATGAAATAGAGAAAGAAAAACAATAGAGAAAATCAGCGAAACCAAAAGCCGGTTATTTGAAAAGATCAGTAAAATTTACAAACCTTTAGCTAAATTAACTAAGGAAAAAAAAAAGAAAGATGACTCAAATTACTGAAATTATGAATGAAATAGGGGACATCACAACTGACCAATATATGGTCAAAAAAAGACCATATATTGGATGATGCTATTTGTATGAAATGTACAGAATAGGCAAATCTATAGAAATAGAAAATACATGAATGGTTGCCCATGTCTTGGGTGGAAGGAGAATAGAGTGTCACCCCTAATGGGTTCAGGGTTACTTTGGGTGGTGATGAAAATGCTCTAAAATTAGATGAGGTAATGGTTGTTGTGATGGGCTAAATTGTGTCCACCACTCCCAGATTCATATTTAGAAGCCCTAACCCCCAGTACCTCAGAATGTGACTGTATTAGGAGATAGGGCCTTTAAAGAGGTAATTAAGGTAAAATGAGGTCATATGGGTGGGCCCTAATCCATTATGATCGATGTCCTTATAAAGAAGAGATTGCAGGCGTGGCACATGCCTGTAGTCCCAGCTACTTGGTGGGCTGAGGCAGGAGGATCCCTTGAGCCCAGGAGTTTTGAGTCCAGCCTGGGAAACATAGCGAGACTATCTCTAAAAAAACAAACAGACAAAAAACTAAGAAGAGGAGGAGATTAGGATGAAGACAAAGAGGGATACAAGACAAGCATATGCACAGAGACAACCATGTCTACACACAGCAAGAAGGCTAAGGAGAAAGACAAGGAGAAAATAAGAAGAAAGCAAACCTGCTGACACTTTGGTCTCAGACCTCTAGCCTCCAGAACTGTGAGAAAATTAATTGTCATTGTTTAAGCCACCCAGTCTGTGGTATTTTGTTACAGCAGCCCTAGCAAACTAACACAGTTTACTCTGTAAATATACTCAAAACCATTGAACTGTACACTTTCAATGGATGAAACTTATTGTATGTAAATAATATCTCAACAAATATTTGTTTTTCGAAAAGTAATGTAGATGATTCCCTCACACAGCAAAGGTTGCAAACTTTGCACTAAACCATGTTAACAAACAGTTCTGACACTTCTGTGCCTGTCCTTGTGCTGAAATACTGCTAGTTCATGAAATTTGGTCAATGCTCAAGAACTTTGAAGTCTGGTACAGAAGACTATCTGAGGATTATAGAGTGTGATCAGTGCCCAGGGTGAAACTATGTTTTGAAGGACCTGAATCAGGTACAATTTTGCAAGCTCTCTTTAAGAAAAACAGTACAAAATTAGATAAAAAAATATTTCTTTAAAATTATAAAAGAAATCACGAATTTTACAAATTACGAATTTTTAAAAACTGACAAATGTGGCCCGGTGTGGTGGCTCACACATCTAATCCTAGCACTCTGGGAGGCCAAAGTGGGAGGATCCCTTGAGGTCAGGAGTTCAAGACCAGCCTGAGCAAGAGCAAGACCCCATCTCTACTAAAAATAGAAAAAATTAGCTGGGAGTAGTGAGGCATGCTTGTAGTCTCAGCTACTTGGGAGGCTAAGACAGGAGGATCGCTTGAGCCCAGGAGTTTCAGGGTGCTGTGAGCTAGGCTGACACCACGGCACTCTGGCCTGGTGACAGAGCAAAACACTGTCTCAAAAAAAAAAAAAAAAAGGAAAAAGAAAAAAAAACCTGACAAATGCCACAAATATCTTAAAAACCTGAAAAAGTAAAATATTTTTATTTGCCACCTGACTCTCTACTAATTTTGTCTACGTGTTTTTGGATATAAACTCTTTGATATCCTCTCTATATGATAATCATTTTATATTACTTTCTAGAGAGAATACAAAGAATCGATTTCTTTTTTTGAAGAGTTCAACTTTTTATTGAACATGTTATAAAAGAGATTTAGTCAAAAAGACCAAAGCCCATGTCATCATCAGACTCCTCAGATTCTTTTTCTTTGCTTCTACTTTCTTCTCCTGATCTGGGGCAGCAGCAGCGGAGGGGGCAGGTCCTGCTGGTGCAGCACCACCTGCTGGAGCAGGTCCTCCAGCCCCTACACTGCAGATGAGGCTCCCTGTGCTGACATTGGCCAGGGCCTTTGCAAACAAGCCAGGCCAAAAAGGTTCAACATTTACACCAGCTGCTTTAATGAGGGCATTGATCTTACCCTCTGTGACAGTCACCTCATCGTCGTGCAGAATGAGGGCCAAGTAGATGCAGGCGAGCTCAGAGATGGAGGCCATGGCACCAGTGAGTACTGGGCTGGTGCTAGTCGCTGGAGAAAGTGAGGGCTTCGCCCCAACGTGACCTTAGCTTTCTCAGAAGGACCGAGCACCTTGATGGCAGCTGAGGAAAAGGGAAAGAATTGATTTCAATTCAATTCAGCTGATCAAATTTTTGAATTATCTAGTTTCTTTTACATGTGAGCTGTAAGATTTCAGGGTATTTTAACTTTTCTTGTGCAGTGACAAAGCTTAAACACTCTTCAAATTGACCATGCTCAGTAATCAGAGACCTGGAAGTGGCCTGTGTAAGCATGGGGTCCTGAGGTTTAAGCTTTATTATTATTTCTGTGATAATTCCATCTCTGTGTCATGCTAGAGAAGAAAGGAGCACAGGGGCCCATGTGAGTCCAGCAGAGAGTTCCTGACCCAGCCTTGAGGGCTGTGGCAGCCTCTCAGAGGAGATGGTGCCTGAGCTGATTGATAAAGTTTGAGTGGAATTTTTCTGGGTGATGGGGAGTTTGTGTGTTGGGGTGGGGGGTGTTACTAAAAGGAGGAAAGAGCCTTCTGTGCAGAGGAAACAATGTGTGCAAATCCACAGAGGCAGGAAGCAACAGGGTATGTGATGATAAATACAAGCATTCCCAGACTGAGAACCTCAGGAGCATAGGCCCCTCCAGAGCTCCAAAGACTTATTTTCATGGATTCAGCAATCTAGACTGAGTTCAAAGGGCCCAAAGGAAGGTACTGAGAACCTAAGTTTAAGTTCCCAGGATCTGAGGCCTCAAACATACATGGATAGAGTAGGCCTGTTAGATACACCCACCCATGGAGTCCCGCTGTGCTCTAAACAAACCAAGGCCTCTGAATGAACACTGAAATTTGGCCTTGAGACTGAAGTCCAAGGCTGAGGATCCTAAGTGACAGGCTTCTTCACCTTTTGTGTGTCTTGAACACTCATCTGGCAATCTGGTGAAGCCAATATATCTTTTCCCAAAATAATGTGTTTTTTTGTTTGTTTGTTTTTTTGAGACAGAGTCTTGCTCTGTTGCCCGGGTTAGAGTGAGTGCCGTGGCGTCAGCCTAGCTCACAGCAACCTCAGACTTCTGGGCTCAAGCGATCCTTCTGCCTCAGCCTCCCAAGTAGCTGGGACTACAGGCATGCGCCACCATGCCC